TTTCTATGCCAATCATTGGTATGGACCTTCTACAACACCACAATCTGATCATCGACACTCGCAAACGGAGGCTAGTAGACGGAAACACTAAATTGTCCGTTTGCGTAACTTCCTTTACTGGTTGTAGAGTATCCCCAGTCACAGTTAAACATATGATAGACCCACTCTATCAACCACTACTCGATAAGTACCCTGGGATACAACAAACTCAACCGAAACTACCGTGTGTAACCAGCAATGTTACACATCACATTACGACTACAGGACCACCTGTATTCTCTAAAGCACGACGACTAGCTCCTGAAAAGCTAAGGTTAGCGAAAAACGAATTCGGTCACATGATGGACTTAGGAATCATACGACCGTCAAGTAGCCCATATGCATCTCCGTTGCACATGGTCCCTAAAAAGGACAGCAACGATTGGCGTCCAACTGGTGACTATCGGCGATTGAACGCGAAAACCATTCCCGATCGTTACCCGTTGCCTCACATTCACGATTTGACAGCTACCTTGAAAGGTACAACTGTCTTTTCGAAAATCGACTTGGTTAAAGCGTATAACCAAATCCCTATGGCTACTGACGACATACCGAAGACAGCTATCATAACTCCTTTCGGACTCTATGAATTTTTGCGAATGCCTTTCGGTCTAAGGAATGCTGCTCAAACATTCCAAAGGTTCATAGACGACGTTTTTCGAGGTCTCAACTTCGTACACGCGTATGTTGATGACTGTTTAATCGCAAGTCCGGACAGAGAAACACATCTCAAGCATCTGGATCTTGTTTTCGAACGACTTCAAAAACATGGCATAACTGTAAACGTTCAGAAATGCCAATTCGGAACCGACTCGTTAGACTTCCTAGGACACACTATCGATGCTCAAGGCATTCGACCTCTTAGGACCAAAGTGGCGGCCATTCTGGATTACCCAGAACCGACCACCGTCAAGCAATTACGCACGTTTAACGGCCTGGTAAGTTTCTATAGACGTTTCATACCGAAATGCGCATTACTTATGAAACCTCTGACCGACCAACTTCGTGGAAATGCGAAATCCATTAATTTGGACGACACCGCACGAAAAGCATTCTCCACAGTTAAGGAACTGATTGCTAAAGCAACGATGCTCGCACATCAGGACACCCGAGCACCCATTAGCATCGCAGTAGACGCATCCGACTCGGCAATCGGAGGAGTCTTACAACAATGGGTTAACAAGTCCTGGCAACCCTTGGCATTTTTCTCTAGAAGGTTGCTAGACACCGAATCGAGGTACAGCACATTCGGTAGGGAACTCCTAGCTATGTATTGTGCTGTACGGCATTTCCAACACTACATCGAAGGTCGTGAATTCACTCTTTTCACGGACCATAAACCGCTCACTTTCTCGTTAAGCTCTCTTTCTGACAAGTACTCTCCACGTGAGTCTCGACAACTGGACTACATTTCGCAGTTTACTTCAGATATTCAACACATCTCTGGAGCAAACAATGTAGTTGCAGACGCTTTATCTCGTATAACTTCCTTGAACAGTTTCCAAGGAATCGACCTTCTTAAACTCGCCGAGCTTCAAAAAGAAGACAGTGATCTTCAGCACGAGTTATCGTCCACAACACTTAAACTACGCATCAAACAGATGGGAACGGGTAAGGAAACCTTACTTTGTGACACATCTACAGGTAGGGATCGCCCAATCGTGCCGAAACATTATCGACGCAATGTCTTCAACACATTGCACAAACTTTCGCATCCAGGTGTTCGTGCAACCATCAAGCTTATAGCAGAAAGGTTTTGCTGGCCTGGAATGAATAAAGACGTGAGGGAGTGGGCACGCTCCTGTGTAAGCTGCCAAAAATCTAAGGTTATCAGACACAATAAATGTCCCTTAGGCTCGTTTAAAACTCCCGATGCTCGTTTCGACCATGTTCATCTGGATTTGGTAGGACCTTTACCAGATTCAAATGGATACTCTTATCTCTTAACCTGCGTAGACCGTTTCACTCGATGGCCAGAAGCAGTACCTATCAAGGACATCACTGCTGAAACAGTGGCCCGCACCTTCGTCGAACGATGGGTAGCAAACTTCGGTTGCCCTTCAACCATCACTACAGACCGCGGACGTCAGTTTGAATCCGATCTTTTCCGTCGGCTGACCACACTTTTAGGAATCACTCGCTTCCGAACGACCGCCTACCATCCACAAGCAAACGGGTTGGTAGAACGTTTTCACCGACAACTGAAAGCTTCGCTATCAGCTGCAAACGTTTCACAGTGGACCGACGCTCTTCCACTCGTCTTACTAGGTATCCGCAATGCAGTGAAAGCTGACATTGGATACACTGCGGCTCAACTCGTTTATGGAACGACACTTCGACTTCCAGGAGAATTCGTGGATCCTTCATCCTCTTCAATGAACATGGATCTAACCTCCTACACGAACAGGCTTACAAACGCAATGCGTTCAGTTAAACCTGCTTCCACTCGACCTCAATCAACTGATGTTTTCGTTCAACCTGACTTACGATATAGTACACACGTTTTCGTTCGTCGAGACTCGCATCGACGACCCTTCGAATCAGCATACGAAGGACCCTTCAAAGTTCTTCAACGTGAATCTAAGTACTATATAGTCGATAAGAACGGAACCAACGATAGCATCAGTATCGATCGCTTAAAAGCAGCGTATTTAGAAGGAAATCCTATCTACGTGGATTTTCCTTCGGTACAATCGAACGACACGACTCCGACACTTATAATACCTCATCCGACAACCAACACACACGATGATACTTCGACAGTATCCGAAAATAAACTTAAAACGACGCGTTCTGGAAGAAGGGTGAGATTTCCAGAACATTTAAACGACTATTGCACGTAAGGCACTTCTCGACATTTTATATTATTTTTTAAAAAAAAAACAATGTTAATATGCTTATATATTTTTATTTCTATTTAAAAAAAAACAAAACAAAAAAAACAATTTTTTGACGCTATTACGTGTTCATGAGTTTATTTTCCATTTTTTTTCCGCCGACATTGTGCTTTTACGCACATACGAGTGTATTTCGACATGCACTTACATTTTCTTTTTTCTTTTCCAGGACGGCTGGAAAAGAACGATGACGTTTATGAGGATCCGAAATTTTCCATGTACATTTTCTTTTTTTACTATGTTGTACCTCCGTCCCATATAGTAAGGAAAGACGACCAGACGCTGCTAAATTTAGTAAGCTATCAGAAGAGTGTTTACCAACGACAAACTCGTTGGGTTTAAACTTCTGGCTGGCCACGTCTTAGGGTCGTCACTGCCCCACTAGGGGGGGAGTGATCTGTAGCGGTAAATAAATCCCCAAAATAAATAGCACTAAGTTTTCGACATTGGATGCTGACCATATGTTTTAGTGGACTCACCTAGCTGAAGGCGCTCGGTCAGGCATCCGCACCAGATCACGTGTGGTAACGCCGTGCTCAACATCAACCGCAATCGCTAGCCAGATTAGATCGGAGAATTCCGATATATTGGTCATCGCCAAATATACTCTTCCGATCTCCTCGACTCTGTCTTTTGATTTCTCTGGGCGGGAACGAAATATATTAGAAGGTGTTACTGGTAGAAGCGTTGTCAAACACTGAATACCTGTGACATCAACACTATCCTTACCCTCTCAAGATTACTCATTATATTTTTATGGTTCCATAATTTGTGCCATTACCTAACTTCATAGCAACCTGACACTAAGTGAATATGTAACCTCTGATACGGAAGCTATGGTCGTGTGATTTTCTTGTAAAATAGTACTTGTAGAATGTACACCAGCAGGATATTTGGAATGCAGCTAAGTGGAGCGCAGTTATTTTATGTGTAGACACGAGGAAGACTAATATTGCTAAAGTGTAGGTTGGCATCCCATTAGTTACCTGCGCCTATAATGTTTTTTTATCCTGGGTCCGTTCACATTATTTGGATCGATCGGTTCTAACCACGCCAGAAAATTATTGGATTAACTCATTGTTCAACGTTTGACATGTTGATCGATGCAACAGCCCATAAAGTGACTATTGGAATTTTTAAACGACTTGTTATTGTGGTGCATCGTTGTTGGCAAGATATGTCAAGTTTGTCTTTTTCCCCTAAAATACTAATATTATCTGGGGGACAGAACAAACCTATCGTGGATGGTATGACGATGGTCAATATTCGAGACGTAGGTCACTGTTTGTTTGTATTTCTCATCGACTGACGAGACTAGAAAATAAGAAAGGGTGACACGAAATACTAGTCCACTGACAACAACGACATGCCATAATCATCTGAAAACGTGCAAGTTTTCACAGTATTGTATTAGCGAAGATTGCAAAGAATAATAATACGTATATATTTTATTAATATAATCGCCTTTAACTTTCTCATGATATTCGTGAAAACGAAATTTCGGCACGAACGGAGAAATTCGGAAGTTTCTGTGCTACAACTACGATAATTTATGGATTATAATTTAACTGTCGAACCGTTAATATGTTTATCGAATTATCTTAATGACGGTTAATTTATTCCTCAAATATTGCTAAATTTGTTCATAAACTACTTCTGTGAGACAGCTTTTTTTATTATCGATCTTAGAACGGCTTAAAAAGAAGGTGACAAAACATCATATAGCTGAAAAATGCATTAAAATACCTCACCTCATCAAGATTATATTGAGAACATCACTCGCGAAATTTCGTCAGTTGTGTTTATAATTCCTCACTATGTAAAGTAATCCTCGTCAACCCCGATTTTCATATAAACCGGTTTTAATGATATGACAGCTAGCTTGTAATTATTTGTTATTTTTCTAGTCACTATTAAATATGTGACTTAAACTTACTTTTGACTTTGTTTAGTTGAGCCTTTCGTTCAGCACTTTTCGGTCACAAGAAATGCGCTGGGTTTGCCTAATATTATTTTGACGTTAAAGTGGTTCACATGTCGGTAACATGAAAACATAGTCAGTTGATGATCCGTAAAATTGTCAAGTTTAGACGTGTTAGTAGAGCAAGAGAACGGATAATGTCTCTTGTTACTGATTCAGTCACTGTCCAGGCAATGGTTCTAAATAATTTATCTGCTATTGTTAGAATAGCCACCGATGAAGTCTTGATAAATCAAGAGTATCCAGATTCAGTTGAAAAAGCCCTTTTATTTTCTTTAAAATGTTTATTGGGCAAGCACAAGTGCACTGATCATTTTGTCTATAATGTGTATGCAGAAAGTCCTGAACCTTTGTTTAAGCTGCAGTCGAACGAGTCTAGTAACGGATTACAACAGTATCAGGAATTTCCAATGTTTCCGGGGAATTTATCGTTGTTCCATATAATTAATACATTTGTGTATACTTTGTCATCAGAAGATATTCTTGCTTTAGATAAAGCATTAAAGTTCGGCCGTGAAGGTTATTATTGTCTTGTGAAAAATCCATCCAGTTTTCCGAAATCAGTGAATTTCCAAAATGACTTAGTGGAACTTTCTGATTGTGTTCATAGTTCCGAACAACCTGAGGAATCAATGGAGAAATGCAATAAATGTGTCATTCGTAATTTTCGTCCATTATATCGATGTTCGAGGTACGTAGTCGGCCTAACGTGTTCACAATGTGAGTCTTTCAGACTGAAACGGACTAAAAGCAACTCTCCACCCAATAATTGTGTTTCAGGGACCGCCTTATTTTGTATTGATCTTTTGCTTGCTGTTTGCAAAGCGTGGAGGTGGAAGGACTTAAGCCCTGGCGATTATCTCAGGTAAATTTAATCTATTTTGTATATTTCCTCGCGGATTTTGGTTTTTTAGTCGGATGAGTACCATGATTTGCGTCACAATAAGGTGCTTTTGGGCCAAAACCAACTCTTATATACCAAACTACCAACAGTAGAGTCATATTTCGATAGTTGAATCACTTGACTGTCTCTAAGTAAGCTGCATATCGAAAACTTCCTACAAGTACTAAACTTTTGACACTGAACTAGTAATAGAAATAGTAGCTTTGAGACATTTAGAGTGATTCAAAACACCTGTACTTCATGTTATACTGTTAGAAGTGCGTTTTGTTTTGTTAAAATCAGTATTTGGGATCAAAATAAAAAAGGACATGAATAAATAGCTTACTCAATTACGAATGTAACCCCTCATGGAGTATAGGCTGTCAACCAGTAATCTCAAAACTTACTCTTCATTGGTCTCTCCTTTCTGGTATTTCTCAAGTGCCATTTATTTTCTTAATGTTTGCTTCCGATTTCCAACGCAATTTGTTCTTTAGTCTGTCTATTTTTCTTTTGCATGAGGATTCCAATTTGCTATATATTGCAGATTGATGGTTTTCGTAATGAGTATCCTATCCGTCTCCAGCGCTTTTTCAGTGTTTTCTCGGCTGAAAGCTGGTTTATTTTCTTCTAGAGTAAATAAAGTCAGGTAAAAAACATATATTTTAGATTATTATTATTTCAAGATACAATCTTAATTGGACTTTCTTCGTTGAATGCTTTTAGCATAGTAGAATAATCCTGCATGACTTTTACACATTACTTACTAATAGTGACCTCTCATTGGCATAATTAAAGAGGTTACTTAGATAGCTTTCTATGGAGATGGAGCTTAATAGTCTAAACTCTCTACTTTTGTTCATTCGACTCAATGTTTTGATTTAATTTCCATTTTGTTAATTGACGTAAACCGCTAGTATATCTGGTTCTTATAGCGGTTTCTTAACACTTTGTGTGACCATCCTCCATCGTCTTCGGTGGTTAGCTGCCTCACAACTGACATAGTTAAGCTCCACCAGTCATGTCATCTCACTAGAACTCCGAGAATCAGTTGTCAAACCTATTCATTAGTGGGCACAATGAAATTTAAGAATCTCCTCAACTAAACACTGAAAATTATTATGTGCTCATCAGTGATTAGCTTCAAGAGGTAATTCTCAGAGTTCTAGTGAGAAGCCATAACCAGTGGAGCTAATCTGTGTTAGATTGAAGCAGTAACCCACCGAAGACGATGGAAGATGGTTGTGCAGTATTGTGGAGGGGTCAAAATCATCCTGTGGTAATCATAGAGGGATTAGTTTGACTAAAATAGCACCTAAAATACTAGCCTCAACAATCATCGAGAACAACTGAGGAACAGCCCGACCGTTGTTGCTACCTTGACGTGGTGGTCGGGCTTGCCTATCGTGATGAAGCAACCGAGCTATACTGGCTGGAACAACCGTTCCTCAAGGTCCTACCATGTCAGACAGGTCGGTTGAAGAGCGGTAAGACTAAAAGCAACAAACCCAAGGTCCGAAGGCGAAGTCGTACTGCTGACTGTACAGAGGTGTGACAGCAGTAAGGTGTTTCCTTCAGACAACCAGCATAACAGCAATGCTGCCTTCCCACAAGGAGGGGTGGGGTTAGAAAAGGTCGACCCTAAAAATGCGCACCTCACCTTACCTCACGGATTTCCGTCTCCGGCGGTAAGGCCCTTTGAAGAACGGAGCTAATACGTCAAAAACCTCCCACGAAAAGGCCGTGCGCGACCGGCCTCAAGCAGTTGTCCCTTGGGCACTGCGGTCACGCTCTCAGGTCACTGAGACCGCCTCTAATCCAATTTCCTTTTCAGGTACCTCCAGAAGAACCCTTCCACGGTGTGGGCAACCGGGAAGTGATAACCGCCATCATACCTCTAACAGCACCCAAGACCACTGTATTCATAATCAACCTTCCTCTTCAATTCCTATTATTCCTCCTACATCGACTTTCAACCCTAAACTTCCTCCTCCGGCTTCCTCCTCAAGTGTCACCATAGCCAACGATTCTAGTGCTCAAAACTCTGTCCCAGGTCTACTGAAACCTTGCTCCAAACTACACATTGGAGCCTTCAACGTACGCACTCTATGTCAAATCGGTCAGCAGGCTTCCTTGGCTAAAACCCTAGAGTCTCTTTCCATTGATGTATGCTGTGTCTCCGAAACACGCATACAGGATTCCAGTGTGGTCATTCACTTGACCTCACCTCGGCAAAACTGAGAGCCAACGAGATACACCCTCCGTGTATCTGGTGACCCGATGGCAAGTTCTCGTGGACTGGCAGGAGTAGGCATAGCACTAAGCATGAGGGCGGAACAAGCACTGCTAGAGTGGATCCCCGTCAACAGTCGTCTATGTGCTGTTCGGCTAAACGACTCCGTAAGAACTCGGAAGGATAGGGACACACGTCGTTGCCTTTTCGTCGTTTCTGCCTACGCTCCCACTGACTGCAGCTCAGATGATGTGAAAGATGAATTTTACAGAAAGCTGTCCGAACTTCTTCAGAAAGCTAAACGCTCAGACATAGTACTCATAGGGGGTGACTTTAATGCTCAGATAGGTAGCTTAAACCAAACAGAAAGGCATTTAGGTGGATATTTTAGCATTCCGGCACAGCGAACAGATAATGGTGACCGTCTGCTGCAACTGTGCTCAGACAATCGCTTATTTTTAGCAAACACAAATTTTAAGCATAAGGAGAGACATCGTCTAACGTGGCGACCGCCTGCACCAAGCCAACGATGGACTCAAATAGACCATATTGCCATCAGTCATCGTTGGAGAGGGTCGGTACAAGATTGTCGCTCATTCTGGAGTACCTGGTTGGACTCCGACCACGCCCTAATACGGGCACGCATCTGCTTGCGCCTCACTGGACGCAAAAAAGCCACGGTAAAAGGACCCATTAGAACCGAACTGAGTAGCGAGGAAACCAAAAGTAGGTTCCAGGAACAACTGAGGTCACGATTAGGTAGTTCTGAAGACGAGGCTGACCCAGATGTTGCTTGGAAAGATATACAAACAGCTGTGGAAACAGCAATGAAATCTATTAGTGACTTAAACCACAGAGTTACAAAGAAGCAGTGGATTTCTTCAAAGTCTATCACATTGATGGATTCTCGCAAACTCGTCCCATCAGGTTCCGAACATGAGAAAGAGCGACAACAAATCAGGTCTAGGTTAAGAAAAAGTCTAAGAAACGACCGTGAGCAGTGGTGGGCAACGAAAGCAAAAGAGATGGAAAAGGCGGCGACTATAGGGAACACAAGACAGCTTTACAGACTAATAAAAGAAACTGGAATTAATAAGTCAAGTGTAAGTGAGATTATATCGGAAAAAGACGATACACTCATCTGCTCCCAGTCCAGGCGTTTAGAACGATGGACGGAACATTTCAGAGGACAGTTCAGCTGGCCTTCAGCTACTCTACAACTACCCTCCATTCCCAGACAGTGTGAATGGAACATTGAAGTAGGTCCCCCAACTCTTGCTGAAGTTCAAAAGGCTATAGTTAATCTGAAACGAGGAAGGGCAGCTGGTCCAGATGGATTGGCTCCAGAGGTCTTTAAGGATGGTGGGCCAATTTTAGCGATTAGGTTGACTAATATTTTAGCTAGGATCTGGGAGTTAGACGTTATTCCATCTGACTGGTCACAATCACTTATCGTCCCAATATATAAGAAAGGGTCAAAATCATCCTGTGGCAACCACAGAGGGATTAGTTTAACTAATATAATATCTAAAATACTAGCCTCGATAATTATCAGACGCCTAACTAAGACTCGTGAACTGCAAACACGAGAGAACCAAGCTGGCTTTAGACCTGGTCGTGGCTGCATCGACCACATATTCACCATTCGTCAGATTCTAGAACACAGGCATACTTATCGACGTCCGACAATGGTGGTCTTTCTCGACTTAAAAGCAGCATTTGATTCGGTAGACCGCGACATTCTGTGGCAGTGTCTGTCATTGAAAGGCGTACCACAGAAGTACATAAACCTTGTAAAGGCTCTCTACTCGAACACTGCTAGTCGAGTCAGAGCTTATGGCGAACTGTCATCTACTTTTGCAACCTCAAGTGGTGTCCGTCAAGGCTGTCCACTTTCCCCATTTTTGTTTAACTTCATCATAGATCTACTGATGGAAATAACTTTCTCGTCGACTGAGTTCTCGGGTATTGATCTCCTTCCAGGAGGTCCACTTATCGACTTAGAATACGCGGATGACATAGTCCTGTTTGGTGAAGACGCTGACAAAATGCAGAGTCTTCTGGTAGCATTGAGCAACAATGCCGGAATGTTTGGAATGCGCTTCTCTCCCTCTAAATGCAAGTTGTTGCTTCAGGACTGGTCTGCGTCAACACCTGAACTAAGGATAGGGAGTGAAGTAGTCGAACGCGTTGACAACTTCACTTATCTTGGAAGTCTGATCAGCCCTAATGGGTTGGTATCGGACGAAATCTCAGCACGGATTCGAAAAGCTCGATTGGCTTTTGCCAACTTACGTCACCTTTGGCGAAGGCGAGATATCCGTCTATCAATAAAAGGACGAGTATACTGCGCGGCAGTCCGTTCTGTTTTAATTTACGGCAGCGAAACATGGCCATTAAGAGTAGAAGACACTCGTAAGCTATTAGTATTTGACCACAGATGCCTTAGAAATATTGCTGGCGTCTGCTGGGATCACCGGGTAAGTAATAGTGAGGTTAGACGCAGGGTATTAGGGAATGATGGTAAATCTGCTGATGAGGTTATGAATCTTCATCGACTGAGATGGTTGGGCCACGTGTTACGTGTGCCTGAACACCGATTACCACGACGTGCAATGCTATCCGGTATTGGAAATGGTTGGAAGAAAGTTAGGGGCGGCCAAACCAAAACGTGGCATCAGTGCTTGAAGTCACTAACTTCTAGTCTGAGCCATGTTGGTAGATGCAGACTATTTGGTTGGGGTCCGCGTGACTATCGTAACCAATGGTTGGAGACTCTTGGTGACATGGCTCAGAATCGATCACAATGGCGTCGGTGTATACACTCCCTGTCTTCCCTTAAACTAAGAGATTAAAATCGCTTCATATCTTTCTTTCTACGAACCAATTCTTTCTTCTTGTACTATATCTCTATATGCAATCTTTCTCTTATATATTACTACCTTTGACCTAACCACTGCTATGAATCCGGTGTTCATCTTGTGGTGCTGATGCGGTATGGCAACCTGGACCGATGCACATATGTGCCTGGTCCTACGTTGTAGCTGACTGACTGACTGATTGTGGATTAGTTGAAGTTAGACAGTAACACCGCTGAATGCCAGCTCAATGGTCTAGGGGTTAAGCGCTCGCGCGTAAAGTCGAAGAACCTAGATTGGAGTCCCGCGTGCGAGATCGTGGATGCGCATAGCTGAAGATCCTCACCTTAGAATGAAGCGACCATCCAGTCACTCCAGGTTTTCTATAGTGGTCTAACATTGTTCGGTTCATGGTTCCGATAAGCCTAATTTAAAACAGGGTAACTGATCGTATATAAATCACGTTCATCTCATTTCCTAGCTTGCTTCAACAGAATAAAGTCGTTATGACAATTATTTCATCATTGGAGTGATACGTATTATATTTCGCAAGACGTTGTAATCATATGGCTTTGTACACTCATACATAAAATTCTAGTATATAGTGTTCAAAATATTCACTTTCTTGAGTTTCCGGTAATTTACGCAGTCGCACTTACAAGCGTTAATATTCTTCCAGATAAAATACTTAAAAATAAATTATCTCTATTTTGTGTAGAATGAAAAATTGTTATTCATGGACTAAATGTTTTTCACTATATGAAGATAGTTTGCATAGTTGTATTTTGACGGCGGAACATTTATTTAATAATTTTATCCGTGCGTGTTAAAGCCACATATAAGAAAAGTATTTTCTCGATTAATTTTGTTAAATTTAGTGTTTCTGTTTACTAGATAATAAGTCTGATTAGCTTGATATTTTCCTTTGTAGCTTGAAAAAAAACAAATGTAACATTTATAATTTAGTCTTCGTATACTGATTTTCAGATTAGACTTTAAGCCTCACTTAATGTGTTTGTGGTGCATACTACTTAAACTGACAGATATAAATAGTATGTAGCAGCAATCGGATGTGGAATGCCTTCCATCAGAAGATTGGGAAGATTGAATTAAATAGAGCAGGGAGGGAAAGAGATCAATAACAATAACTACAGAATTGGAAAAATCATGAGGCATGTAAAGGACAATTGAAGGTAGATCTGAAAATAATATATTCAAGGCATGACTTTCATGTTTTACGAAAGCACTAATTTTTTATTACACAATAAATCGGTTAACTCCATCTGAGTTCTCGTTTACCATATGTATGGTTTCCTCGATTAGTTATTACATTTCGACAGCCTGGTTGTAGATTTGAAATTTCTTACCTTCATTTCGGGCAACCGGCTACTTTTGGTGGTCCTTATACAATGGCACATATTGCTAAAGCGAGTGGACAAACCTTGTTTACAGATTCAAATTAGTTGCTTGTATCCAATTAAGTGAACCAGTATTTTAACAAACCAGTTACTACATTAGTTAAATTTACTATTCTGATTCCACTGTTATCAGTTTTATTATCACTACGAGTAAATATTTGGACTAATCCACCTTTTGATTATTGCTGATTCACATACATTTATATCTTCAGACATGTTTGTACATATACATATATATATTTCCTAGCTTTATTTAGTTTTTCGTTGTTGAAAAAATTACCAGAATATATGAAATAGTTATTAATTTATCAGAGCAAATATTGACTGATCATAGAAAAATTCTTGAAAGCTACTTCGCTTAAATATTAAACTAATTATTGTTTCAACAGCTGCTTAGTGTATATACAGTGCAGAAATGTGCCCAAAAATCGTCGGGAAAACTAGGATGGATGACGACTCAGGTCGCTGTGGTTTGGCTCCCGCTTGCTGGCGGCGTTTGCAAATCCGTTTGCCGCCATTCTAGACTGACCATTTATTGTGTCGCCCACCTAGTATCTACTTATGGGATTATATGTATAAATATCGACGCAAACAAATCATTTATCACCATTTACAATTTGCTTGATATCGAATAGAGGTAGAAGAAGAACATATTCCTCTTAGACAGGTAATTATTTCGGACGTAGTGCAATAAAACGAAATTTTCTGTGTGCTGTTTTAGATTAAAATCGAACTTCAGTTTTTGCATTTTGCTATTTGAATGATTCCATGTGGATTATATATGCGTATATATATATATATATATATATATATATATATATATATATATATCAGCGCTGGCGCCTGTAAAAGACCTTAATGCATTCTAATCCGAAAACTAACTGAATTTCTTTCCATTATAGGATTGTGTCTGCTTCGGGGGTGTACATGTATGTGCACGTATGCTTCTTGTGTGTGTGAATCAAGTCACATCTTTTATTATTGAATAAGTTGTAGTTTGTTCACTAAAAGAACAAGTTGGAAAAGCGCATAATAAATGAAACCATAGTAGTTTACATCATAACCAATTTTAATTAATGTTTAGTACAACTAGTACCAAACTCTCTATCTGTGATGGCGTCTAATGCAGTTTTTTATCATTTAATTTATACACTATGTTTCATTATGTTGCCATAATTCTAAAGACGTATATATTCAACTCGTTTAATTTAGCTATGTTATTAATGATCTTGATGTGAATGATTTTAGTTGAGTGCGAATAAATTAAGTTTTGATATACAAAACCAAACCCTTTATGATTTCTCTAGCGTAATTATACTAATGCATAAAAGATTTATTAGTGTTTCTCTGATATCGTTTGGTCGGAAAACTACTTTTTTCCATACCAGGGAAATATTCTCTAGCTTATCAACACTGTAATCTGTCCAGCTGTACGCTTATGATTTGATTTTTTAGGAATAAGTACTATGGCAATATCATCGTTCCGTTGTTACGGGATCACTCTGTAGGGTGGAGCACACCTGTTTTCTAAGGGTTAGGTACACAAGGATTTGGAGAGGCGTTTGAAGCTAAAACAAAGATAAATTTTGAAACCCCCAAGCTGCAGCTTTGCTTTGATATGAGTGTATGTTCTGGTTCAAGCAAAAATTACACATAAATTTGTCACGATCTACTGTAACATGCAACAAAGCATGTATTTGTCATCAACTCGCTAATATCGTCTAAATCAATTTCTTTGTTTATGCTTAGAGTCCATGACCATAAATGTGAATGTTTTATACGAGCCCGAACCATTCGTATAGCATCTTTGAGTTAGTGAAGACCTGGGTCTAATGAACCAAATTATTGCAGTTGAAAACAAGTGCTAGTGACATATCTTTTATTTTACTCTCAATGTTCAACTTGTTAGTGTCTTGTACCTACTTCTCGTTGCTTAATCTCATTTTATGACTTACTCTTATTTTAAGATTTCTCTTATTGTGGTGTTTAGAGTTTTGTACATCGTTCCGATTGAATAATATACCAGGTTCTGTTTCTCATCCAATTTTTTTTCTTCACAGTTATATTCATGAAATAAATGTATTGTTTTATCACTAGGTATTTGTTGAGTATAATATCATTGATTTTTAATGGGCTATACATGAACCATAAATTTCCACGACCAGGTTTACCCGTTTTAATACATTTGTGTATGTTGTTTGCGACCAGTGCATAATCTCGCCGTGTTTATATATCCATTCCCAACCCAAGTATATCATTATGAACGTACTGCTTTTTTGTTTTCCAAACATTATTAAAACAAAAGCATTGTAACGACAATTTACTTCATTTTAAAAAATCAAGAAACTTAGGTGACCCAGTAACTTCGCAAACAGGTTTTCATAGTTATTATACAGAACAATTCGTTATGTAAACTACGAGTATGTTTGAATCCTGTCATTCAACTTACCATGCCACCTGACCATTTTTTAGTTAGCATTATATTTAATTCGTTACTATCAGTATGTTGTTTCATTAAAATCTTACAATTTGCTGTCTAGTAAAATTTCACTTGGTGCTTCTTAACGATTGTAAAAATATTTTAATTCAAAAACATACATTTCGGGTTGTCCATGACTCAGTATATCGATTGAGTAATGTAGAAGTTGCTATCCTTTTAGTCTCATAATACTACACGAAATTATTTCGTCGAAAGTCAATTTCAAATTCATTTTTTCATCCCATACAGACGGACTGGACCTTGTCAGTCCTCAGAAAAGCATACAAACTCACAAATTTGTTTAAACCCCTATCACTGGAGTCGAGTACTTATTCAAGATAAAATTAATGAGGAAAATAACTGCTCAAGATATTCTTCAGATCCAGGTAATTAGTCTTTATTTTGTGTTGTATAAAGCTATATATATATATATATATATATATATATATATATATATATATATATATATATATATATGAACACCACGTTGAATATGTTACTTCATCTAACAGCTACTGAAGTTTGCTAGCATTAAAGGCACACCCGAAACAAATGCATATTTCACAAGCTCAGGATTTAGATCATAAATTTTTAAAAAGTACCAGTATATTTTATTAATTTATACGAATATTCGTCAATATTAAAACGAATAGTTTGACAGAAATTGGGCGCTGAGTATAGAGAAAACATTATATGTGAAAATCATATTTGAAATAATCTCAGCGATTAAGATTACCCTGAAGAAGTCCAAACAAGTTTGCTGGACGAAACGTTAGAATTATTCAATTATCTCAATCGCTGAGATTATTTTAAATATAATTTTCACATATATTTTATTAATTGGTTACATTTCTTGGAAGAAGATCAAATTCAACTAGTCCATCCATACTTTGCTAGAGATCTATGAATAACCTTGAGTTCATGGTATAAATAGAGATATTTAACAGCAGTGGATGATATCTTGAAACTTTTCTATACAAATAAAATGATCATGAATCGTCTGTACACATGAATGTTGATAATTTGTATTATTATACTTATTTCGGAAGAAAATATTGATGCATATGCAACCGATAAAAATGATTTTGTTAACAGAAAGTTTCAAACTTGCTACTCTATTTTCAAAATAAACATTCACTAAAATATTTCAGCCTCAAATATATATTTTTTGTTTTGCTCTTATTATTAGCTTTAACGTAAAATAACTATTGATTGTGTATCAGGAAATGCCTTACAGTTAATACAATCTAAATGAATTTCACCATTGTACTTTATTTCATCATTAGGATCTTTTATTGACTTTTACCATTCAATTATAGATTGATATACTCAGTTTTGATCTATACTCTTAGTGTTTAAAAACTAAGTTTACCACCATTCAATCACTCAACTGAAATAAGTGAAGTAGGTTTAGTTCATCAGTGGTCTAATGGGTAAAAGTTGAGTTCATAGACTGATTTAGCCAGCGGGTACCAATGACTAAATCTTCCGAATTTCGGTTCATGATTCAGTGTTAATCAAAGCAATAAAGGTGCATCTGTTTGTTGTCTTTCTCTTAGATACCTTGGTTTATTAATATTTTTTAATTTCCTTGTTTATTTATTTTGTGTCCTGTTTCATGTGAACTCATCAGTGTTAAATTGTTATTATTATTATTATTATCTAACTGTTTTGTTGATTTTATTTCTCTCAATTTTATTCGTACTATGAAATCCTGAACATTTGACTGTTACGCAAATGTTGGCCATTCCATTTCACAGTCCCTTTTTCTATGATTGTTCACTTTTGACAAATTATTCATAATAAATCTTTTGTGTTGAAAGTTTAACGTCTTATTGTCTTCATTTTGACACTTGTTTCAAAATTTAATCGTAGACAGAACAAAACAAATGCGTAAATGTAAATATTTTGTTCGAATAATGAACATAAACACCTAGTAGCTTAACTAATCAATTGTCGTACTAATTTGTGTTTACAATTATCTCAGTGTATTATATAAATTTTAGGTTTTAAAAAGTAAACAACATAAAGTAGGAATAACCTTGAATCTATATGTTCATTAGATTTTCTTACAAGCATTAGTGTTTGTTCATGATTTTGTTCGTTCGGATTTTCAACGACTGAATGATTTGTTATTTGAAGATTTCCTTTGTCGAGTTGAAGTATGTGGGAAATCTGATTATATGCAATGGCAAAACACAGTCTTGTGAATAGTTCAGTTAGCAATGCCAACATATTATTCTTGCATTCCTCTTTTTCAAAATGTAAGTTGTTGATTGATAATAGAATACGCAGATGGCGTAGTCCCGTTTGTTGAAGACACTGATAAAATGCAGAGTCTTTTGGTATCACTAAGCAACAATGCCAGGATGATTAGGATGCGTTTCTACCCCTCTAAACGCAAATGTTTGCTTCGGGACTGGACAACCTCAACATCTGAACTAGAGAGTGAAGTAGTCGAACGCGTCGACAACTTCGCTTATCCTGGAAGTCTGTTCAGCACTAATCGGTTGGTGTCTGACGAAATCTCAGCACGGATTCAGAAAGCTCGTTTGGCTTTTTCGAACTTATGTCACCTATGGCGAAGGCGAGATATCCTGTCAGTTAAAGGATGGGTATACTGTAAGACAGTTCGTCCTGTTCTACTTTACAGCTGCAAAACATGGCCATTAAGGGTAGAGAATACTCGTAAGTTACTAGTATTTGACCACAGATGTCTTAGAAATATTGCTGACATCTGCTGGGATCACCAGGTAAGTAATAGTGAGGTTAGACGCAGGGTATTAGGGAATGATGGTAAATCAGTTGATGAGGTTGTAAATCGTTATCGACTGAGATGGTTGAGCCACGTGTTACGTATGCCTGAGCACCGATTATCACGACATGCAATGCTAACCGGTGTTGGGGATGGTTGGAAGAAGGTTAGGGGCGGCCAGACCAAAACATGGCACAAGTCCATGAAGTCACTGACAAGTGGATTGAGTCATTTTGGTAGGTGTAGACTACCTGGTTGGGGACCGCGAGATGATAGCAACCGATGGTTAGAGACCCTGAATGACATGACTCAAAATCGTTTGCAATGGCGCAGGTGCATCCACTCTTTGTGTTCGCCCAAATTTTAATCTCCTGATTCCTCCTTGTCTCTTTTTTCTCTTCCCAAATTTATTTCACTGTATTACACTCTTTAAATAACATCTCCAAACCCTAATCTTCCCGATTACTGATTATATTTTGACTACCTCTACCACTACGGGATTTGAATCGACAATTGTATCTCTGTGTTAATGTGGTATGGCAACTCGAACTGATGTACGTACGTACGAAGTTCTACGTTGTTACTGTCTGACTGACTGTTTCACTTTTGATTATTTAAGCCACCTTTGTGACACAAGCGAGTGATTTTCGTTGGTGCTCCATATTAATTAGATTACTATTAAAAACTAACTAATACTGGCCAAATGTTTTAGTGTTTTTTTCTTTTCTCACTACTCATCTGTAGTTTTCCTCAGATTTAAACCCATAGTATTTGATCTCTGTGAAATCATAATATTCCAATCCGATTGGCTCGTGATTGTCGCTCATCATTTTAATTTGCTGGTGTTTCAGATTTTACTACTTACACTGTTGAGATTATCCTTTGCTGTCTTTTTCATTGTTTCCACACATTTGAATTTAGTTATAATATTTATAATTACTCTAGTAGTAGCAGTGGTAGTACTAGTAACAAGTAAATTATTTGTGTTTGTTAAGGGCCTGTCATTAAGTTTGCATTTTTAAGGTTTGTGAAGGATTGCTTGTCTCGTAATTACTCTCTCCCTCCCTCTCTCTATTTGTATATATATACAAGGTGGGAATAAGTTATTTGGATAAGTAGTTGGATAAATAAGTACACAAACACACACATGAGACAATTCTCTGCAAATACAAATTTTGCAAAAAGTTACTTCTTTTAAATAGAAAAATAATTCATATTCAAGTATGAACCGAACATATGAAGTTTACTGTTTGAATTTCTCACAGTATTCAAACCAAGAGCCCAACATATCGTTTATTACTTTATATGTTTGTTTTTACCTGTGTGTATGTATGGAGCAATAATGTGGGATATTTAAAATTACTTTAGATATACAGTAAACACTCGAATTCATGTGTGTACTGTATTATAACTATTTAAAAATTGACTTGAAATAATGTCAAAATTTTTGTGACATATATGTATACATACATATATAGTTGCACATGCGGACAGGCATATATCGTATTAAGTATGTTACATAAATTTCAATGTCAAATTATGTGTTGTTTATAATATAACAGAAATTTTCTCACTGCTTTTTTTAAAACTATCATATATATGTATATATATAATGTAAAATTTATTGTGCTAATATTAATGTGGATTTTTAAGTATTTTGTTGCTGTTCCATATATTTATTTTTTGTCAACATTACCACTTATTCTCTCCCCCGCCCCACTTTACACAAACAGACTCACTCACATACATATACCCAGCCAACCAAAAATCTTTTGTCTCATTTTCTGTCGCCATTAAATGGCACCCATTTGGTGCCAGGTGTCATTACTTGTGAGGGCAAAACTAGATAGTGAATGGCGCCAAACTGTAAAAGCTTTCGGCGCCACTTTATGTATTTATATATATTTATATGTATGGGGTGTAACTTGGAGCCAAGTTTTACAGTCAGGGCGTCCTGTGCTTATCATTTAAGTAATTTCCCCACATAAGTGAAATAAGCTTTGATAATTCACTTTATTTATATATTTAGGCATACTGAAACTTTACTGAGAAACTCATAGGGTTAGAGAGTGAACCAGCGCGAATTATATAAAGTAAATATATTTTTTCTGATTTTTAATGTCTAGATTTTAATCCATCACTCACTTACTCATTTACCACGACGACGACACTAACGACAACCATGACCACAAATGTCATTGCATCATTTATCTGTTATATAACTATCACTGTATGATTACTAGTTTGTTAATTGCTCGCATATTATATATATATAATTGCTAATGTCGTAGTTGATATTATTCGTATTATTACTATTATTATTATTATTATTATTATTATTATTATTATTATCGTTTGGAGTTGGTTTTACTGGTAAAAAGCATTTCGAAAAAAGTTTTGAAAGACTGGATAGATTTTGGTTAATACTTAGAAAAATAAAACAGCGATACCGCTGTCAATGTTTCATTCCGTTCCATTTACTTTACTATGTTTGCGTCTCAGTTTTTTCGTGTTTTAAGTATGATGAAGGAAAGATAGCAAAAGGCGACACTAGTAAAATATTATAAAGTAGATAGAGTTAGGGAGACAATGTGGTCAGGTATCCCAGTTATAATTGGACATGTTGTAATT